CTTCTTCAGCAGAAGCTTCAGCGAGTTTTGCATTAAAAACAAAGTTATTTCCTTCAGTACCTAAACAAGTAACCATTACTATACCATTACTATACCATTACTATACCATTACGATACCATTACTATACCATTACTATACGAAATAAAGCTAATAGCAAAGCAATTATTTTAATAAAATTTTTTTTTCTAAATCAACCGCTACATATAAAATTTGTACTAAAAATTCCAAATGAAGTAGTGGAACAATGGTGCAGATGAATTTGCCAATGGTAAACAAAAAGATTAACACTGGTTATAAAACACATGAAAATGTAACATAATAATACGTAAACGTAATTGTTTTTGAGCAGATTATCAGCAATCATCCAATCATATTTTGCCAAAAACGAATTCGTTTTCACTTTTCAAAATGTATAACGGTAAAATCTCAATAAAGTTAGCATAACTTAATTGGCTGCTTATATAGCCATATCATATACGATCTACGTATCATATGATAAATTGTTGAATTTCTGAATTTGATTATATATCTGATTAAAGGTTTGCCAAAACGAGTAACGTCGAATAAATTCCTTTTTTAACTGTTTATTTTTATTTTTAGGTAGAAAGTAAAAAAAATCATATAACAATTTATGACATGAATGCTAATGCTACAAAAGGAGAATCCAGACTTTGGATTTTTAATTTATCTTGTCCTCCAAAAATTAATTATCGATATCAGATGTTCAGGAGCTGAGTCCGATAACGATAAGTTATAAATTTAAAGTTTAGAAATCGGTTTTCTCTTGATGCCACTCATATGTATGATTGATTCATATTCAGATAGGAGTCTCAGCAAATCAAATAGATTTTTTAACTAAGCATTAAAGTTAGCGTTAGTGCAAAGAATATGAATTCCATAACTGTGTTCTTGTGCTATGACTTAACCGGTAAAGGCGATATATCATTTAACAATATGCATGGTGTTATAGTGGTGTTACGTATGTGCGCACGATCATGATAAATATTCAGTGTTACCAAAAAATGACACCATTATCGTTATCGTTATAAAAAATTTTTTTTTCTTCTTTCTACAAAAGTGTTATAATTAATTCAGTTATGGCTTCTGAATTACTTTTATCAATTTATACCAATTATTTGGTACCTTTTGCACTTCATGTTAATGCGATTGCTCTTCGAAATAAGATATTGGCTCCTTTTTTCAAAGGTGCTACTGTCAATACAATTTTATTAATGACCGCAAGTCTCGTATTTGTCTCCATTATTTTTTTATACACTCTATATAAAGCTATGGTAAATATTATTTATTATTAATTGCTTATTTATATATATATAATTATCTAAAAATTATCGATTTATTTTGACTCTTTTCGTTATATCATTTTCAATTTAATTCATACGTATACAAGTATATAAGTCCCCAAAAAAATGAACCCCCAATGGTGCCTTACTGGATTCCATTTATTGGCTCTGCCGTAACTATGGGTATAGATCCTATTAAATTTTACAGAGATAAACAAAAAGAGGTAATTTTCCTTCTAATTCATTTATTTATTTATTTTTTTTTCTATATAAATATCTCGTTTAACAAAATTTTATATTTAAAAAGTACGGAAATTATTATACGTTCATTTTGTTTGGTAGAAGAATGGTTACTTGTTTAGGTACTGAAGGAAATAACTTTGTTTTTAATGCAAAACTCGCTGAAGCTTCTGCTGAAGAAG